TCAAAAATTTTCAAGTGAAACTACCTTCTAAAAATTATTGTATCATGCTTGACACCATACGCCTAGTCGATAGAATTGAGATATTGAAAATGTTATAACGACATTAATTGTAGTGTTTTTGTTGTAAATTTGTTGTGGAAAGAAAAAATTTGTAACTCTCGTTTTTTAAGAAAAAATGGTATGTAGTGCTAACTTGACACTATACACCTAGTCGAATGTGGGCTGTTCGTTAGATTACAAGAAATGAGGTGTCAAATGAGAGGCCCCCAGATGCTCAATAATATATTATTTTTTAGTAGGGTGGCAACCTGTTTAGTTGTCAATCGCAATCGGCGAAGCCTCGCGCATACGAGGACGGCTAGTTTTAAATAAAATAAAATAAATTATGATGTCTTTAAATTTTATTTAAACCGAACAAGTGCAGAATACGTACATTTCTCAAAAAATACAAAACAAAAAATAGTGGGCTCTATAGAGGAATTCATACAGATTACAACAATATAATTTATTTTTGTGGGAAACAAAAACTAAGTTTTATTCAAGGTCAAAGGTAAAAAAAAATAGATTTCTTCAAACTTGAATTACTCATAAAAAATTTAAGATATTTCAAGGATTTGTATGTCATTAGAAAGGTAATATAAATATATCTTGTGACATACAAAAATACTGATATACATAGGGCCTGTTCGAGGTACGTAATAAAAGCGGCAGTACTGCAGCACTGATGAAAATTCGCAATACTGTTGCAACTTGCCAACTAATAAAACGTTGCTGGAAATTCACAACGAACGTGATACTTTCAATAATTCGCCCAACAGCGCGGTTGTGATTGCATCTCGAACAAGCCCATACCTACAACATATCATATATGAACGATCGCTGGTATTTTTGGGCAGAACTTCTTTCTGCGTTGCACAGTGCTTTCGAAATTAAAAAGTGCGGACAAAATTCTAAGGTTGAAATAAATGATTCGAAATTTTGTACCAGGGGGTTTTCAAGGTCGCTAATTACGAATCCACTATCAGAGTTGCAAATTTCGAAATGTCGGATGCAGTAAGGCGTCTGGTAAATGTTGGGCTTTTTAATTAGATTTCTTAGAAAGATTTTGAGCATGCAGGTTTTTAGTCCTGCCACAAGGTGCAAGTTTGAAGTAGCTAGGACTTACCGTTGATTTTTGAGAATTTTTTTTGTTGACAGTGGCAGCTATTTTCTTCCATACGAAGTATGTTCGATGATATGAAGCAACACCTTCAACAAAAAAAAAATTTACAAAAATCAACCAAAGTCCCAGCTTCTTTAAGCTTGCACTTTATTATACTTAAATTAAATGGGCCTCCAAACTGCATACTCAAAATCTTTCTGTGAAATCTAATTAAAAAGTTCGAAATTTTTACATGGAGGTGAAGCTAATATGTATCAGCGTGTTAGAAAAAAAAATCTGTGTTTTATTCTATAGCTAATATTTTTCTACGTAATCTCCAATAGGTTTAAAGGCAGCATCCAACAGAGTGATGTTACTGTTGCATTTAACACCTAAAATTATGTTTAAAAATAAACGAAAAAATACATTTACATTTTTATATCTTAAACAGCCCTGTTACAGGTTTTCTTTTCAAAAATTTTGTAACGTTATTTACTAACCTTCAGACGTAAAATTCATTTGGTTTTATTTGGTTTCCTATTCTCTAACTACCTTTATACGTTAATAACTTTTCGCTTTTCATTACAATAATGTTGTGCTTGGGAGAAAGTCTCACTAGAAATGAATGTAAAGAGAGGGCCTAGGGTACAGGTCGTTACAGTGAACAGTTTTCGCTTTTTATGTGATCCCTTTAGTCAACTCAATGTCAAAAAAGGCCTATCTAGATACTTTATTTTCTCGAATTTTGGCCGCACTTTTGGAATTCGGCCGCACTGTGCGTTGCCAGAACTTAATTTTTTATAAAAATTTGTAATTTTTTTATAAAGGCTTATTTTTTTAATAACCCTGCAAACCAAAGTTTTCGAAATCTTAACGAAATCTTTAGGAGTATCTGATTTCTGGAACGATTTTTTTCCGAATCTTCAAAGAAAACTATATGAAGTGGTTGACACGAACTCGTAAAGAAATTTCTGTACGAAAAATAAAGAAAATTCTGAAAATAGTCTGCAAGAAATTCTTCACATAGCAGCATTTTTTCATTTCTTTACCGATTTTCTTCCGAAATTTCGTAAAAGAATGGAAATGTGCGTAATTTATTTCATCTTCCGAATTCTTTAAAAATTCTTTGCGATTCAGAATACTCTGTAAAAATGGTTTGCAGGGAAACTTAACAGAAAAAATAAAACAGGTACATATGTATATATCAAAAAAAAAAAAATGTTTTTAATACCATTCAAACGACATCAAAATGTAAAGTAGATTTTAGTGTAAAGAAAATGAAAAAACCGATACTTTGCACTTCGATAACACCAGTAATTTCTTCCCCTTCAAAAAAAACTATACCGTTATGATCATTGCTAAGACCCCAACCGACACAATTAAAAATTTTGTATATCAAAAGTCTTTGTCCGAGTGTGTTGTAGTGGTGGCAGCATACAAATTCCTAAAACGAACCTGGTAGGTATGAGAACTTTCGTTATTCCAATTGCCCAAGGTGTGAACTAGATACCCAGCTGATGAGAGACATGTATGTGCATTTTAAGATGTCTATATACTATATAGTAGATATCTATATACTATATAGTACATATCTGTGTTCGTATGGGATAGCAGCTTATGTCGAAAGGCTGACTTTAGTATAATGCAGCATTCGCAGCATACGATTGCGAATGACTCACTGACGCCGAGCCGTTGAAGAACTTTTGGCAAATAAACATGCAAGAAATAGTTCCGATACTAGCAAGTCAATATTCTTATTAAGTCTCATCAAAAAATTCCTTGCCGTTTAAAGAATAAAGGAAATGCCGCATTATACTAAAGGCAACTTTCCGACATAAGCTACTATTCCATACGAACACAGATGTGTACATACATATGTATGTACATAAGCATGTATTTGCATATTGAAATTCCACGGACTTCTACAAATAGCCGAGCATGCAGAAACAAATAAGACAGGTAAAAATGATCGCTAGTCAAATATCTTGAAGAAGGTAGCTTTATATTTCGCAAGAGCATGTCACGTACTTGTGCGCATTTTACATACAGATCCGTATAGATATGAGTAGATTACCACCTACCACTTTTTGATTGTTCATCTATGGTCTCCATTGTAGATTGGTAATTTATGAACTGTTCTATGAATATTGTATAGAAATTTGCCGGTCTTCTGACATAAACTTTAACTAGCCAGGAACCCAACAAGTCGAAAAAATTATCGTTTCACCAAAGCCACATAAATGATGAGTCCTTAAGCGCAAAGCATTAGCGCTGATTGCGCACACAACGGATACAGCTGCCGGCCAGCGATATCGTAGCGTAGCTGGTGAGACAAGCAACACCTGGTGCCTGAGGCTACCAAAACTCTGTATACAATCAAAAAATTATAACTGATGCACTTCAAATATCGATACCACGGTTCGAAACAATTCACTATTAAACACTTTTTTTTTTATTTCAAACTGCGCGCTCAGCTTCACGCAAAATTTCTTTCTTTTCTTTTTTGCAAATCCAGTTTTTATTAAGACAAACTTTTCACGTTTGCTTTTTTTTTAACTTATCACATAAGTCTTGTTTTCTATTTTTCTTTGACAAACACAACTCAAATAATTATGGAAATGCCTCATTTTGCAATTCAAATCATGAAAATAATTTTCGCCGCCGTACACGCAAATTTTTCAAAGTGAAAAAGAGGATAGATAGGAAAAACAACGACAACGCTGCCCGACGGCGAAATTCAAGCGA